TCAGTCCGCGAAATGATGTGGTTTTCACCGCCAGCAGTGCTTCCGGGACAGCATGCACCAGGCGTTCATTTCACCCAGAGCAAGTTACCTACGCAAAAACGAGCTTAAATGTAGAGCACTATCACTATAAATTGTTTAGGTGCAATAGCTGCGATGAATCAAGGACCAGGACTGGCTGTGCTACGTTCGCCACAGTTCCAGCTGGCACGTCCGATTGAACTACAAATTGAGGTTATTTATAAAATTACTAAACCTTTCCTTTTGTAATCTGGCAAGTACGCACTTCTTACTACTTAACAGATAATGAATTCGTCAACTCACTATCCAACGAGTAGAGCCCTGGATTTGTAATGCTCCATTCTACAATTTTAATTCCCAAATCTACTTCAGAAACTATTTTCCATTTTAAGTAATTTATGAAAGGTGAAGGTCCGTTTAGTCTGATCATGAACACAGTTTTGTATGCACAAAAGGTGCCTGATGATTGCTCTAGCAGCACACTGAATGATTGCTCTGGCAGCACACTGAACATAACCACAAGCTGCTCGCAGGTTTTCTCACTCGAATTCGTGTACTAGTGCACTATATCGTTTGTTTATTTCAAAAATGCGTCACTACGCTTCAAAATGCGTCGTTGACTACATCAGAAAATTTCAGATTTATCAGTCCACATTTGGCTCACAAACTTTCTTGTGTGGTGATGATTTCACAAATTTGTATGACTGCCGGCCTTTGTTGGGCCCAAAAATAGTACTTCCAAGAACGGCAAAAGTAAACATACACCTCGACCAAGAAGCTGAAAATTTCACGATTGTTGCTGTACATGACAAATTTGCGCAGTTTGGTGCGGCGACATTTATTATTTCGAATATCAAAGTTTTGGATGAAGATGGAAGGCCGCTGTGTTGAATTTTGTTTTATTAAAATTGTATATTGTAAGTTTGAATTTTAGGGAGGAATCACGCCTTTAAATAAATTATACAAGTTATTAAGGTCCTGCGAAAACTACACGATTGATTTGT